CCAATGGGGTCTTTAAGCACTCCCCATTAATTTTTTTATTCATGGTAAAATACACATAACATAAAATTTGTTATCTTAACCATTTTTACATGTACAGTTCAGTAGTGTTAAGTGCATTCATGTTATTGTGCAACCAATTTCCAGGACTCTTTTCATCTTGCAAAACTGACACTCTATACCCATTAAATAACAGCTCTCCATTCCTTCTCCCCAGCCCCTGGCAACCACTGTTTGACTTTCTGTTGGCTATTCTAGGTACCTCATATGAGTCAAATTGTATGGTATTTGTGTTCTGGTGACTGGTTATTTCACTTAGCATAATGTTACCAAAGTGCATCCATATTGTAGCATGTGTCAGAATTTCCTTCCTTTTTAAAGGCTGAATAATATTCCACTGTATGAATATAGCACATTATATTTATTCATTTATCTGCCGATGGACACTTGGGTGACTTCCACCTTTTGACTATTGTGAATAGTATTGCCATAAACATGGGTGTACAAATATCTCTTAAAACTCTGCTTTCAAGTCTTTTTGGTGTACACCCAGAAGCAGAATTACTAGGTCATAAGGTAGTTCTATTTTTAATTTTTTGAGGAACTGCCATACTGTTTTCCACAGTGGCTGTACCACTTTACAGTCCCACCAGTAGTACACAAGGGTTCCAATTTCTCCACATCCTTGCCAACACTTGTTATTTTCTGTTTTGTTTTGGTTTATTTTAGTAGTAGCCATGCTAATGGGTATGAGATGGTATCTCACTCATTAAATATCCTGAAGGTTATGCTTTGGTTCTCAGATAACACCTCAGTGATGAATCTATGTTACTATTTGCAGAAAGCAAAGAGTTTGGCCCTGTAGCATTGCACAAAAATGCTGACGTCTACTTTGAGGTGGGAACTGAGCCATGAGGCATCTCCGGCTAGGGAACTTATTGGCCCCAAAAATCACTTTCCTTGTTGCACAGGTTTGCCCATAGGCAGCTCTCCTCTAATGAATTCTTCAGCTTTCAATTTGAGCAGCAACAGAAGAGAACATGGGGTGAGGGGGTCTTTACATCTCACAATCTTACTCTTGTTTATTAAAGAATTGTAAACTGAGAAAGAACTTCATGGCTACCTATAAAATGTTCCCACTCCTCCTCCATTAGTCCTTCTTGCTATCTTTTACACCAGCAAGCACTGTCCTAAAACTAGGGCAAAGTAAGAATGTCTCTCCTACTTCTTCTCAAGATAGAACCATGAAGATC